ACTCAGCAACACAGTTATAATATATTGTATGAGCCAACAAATTACATAGTGGAATTGGGTTCCTAGCTGCAAATAATATAACAAAATAATAATTAATATTCTTTCTATAATAAATATAAAACATAAACATGCCAATCATATGTCACACCAAACTTTACCTTTTCTTTAATTAATTTACAGAAATTACAAAGAAGTTCGCATTAACGGAAGCAAAACATCTCGCGCATGTAGTGACAACTTGGTTATCAGATTTCCGTGGCCCAATTCTAGTAGTCCATTACGAGGAACTAAAACGATACAGTTGGTGAAGTATCCCGGATGTTGGATTTTTTGCATGTCAGTGAAAACAAACGTCGCATGAAATGTCTGGTAAACGACATTGAGGGGAACTTTCACAGACGATCGAAATTTGATCGGAGTGAGAAATACAAGGTGTTCAGTGACATAAAAGGTATTATAGATATCAAGATTGAATCTATATCAAAATTACTTGCAAAGAGGGGAGACAAACCCATGGCTACGTTCGACTTTCCGTCATAATCAACCTAATGACCAAACTTATAACATACCTGATCATGTACAAGTTGCCGTGATACCAAAACCAATTCGTGGGAATATCATCAGTGCTTCAGTGAGATCGCCAATCCAGTTAATAAAATGTATCTACACTTATATCACATGGGACACACATTCACAAGAGAAACCTATATATATATATCATTCTATTATTTGTGGTTCAATAGTGAGGAATTTATTTTGCAAATGTATATGTATATGTGCATATCTGCACTTTTTATCAATGAAACACTGAGCAACATATCAGAGAATATCGCGTCAATGCTGTTATGATGCCATTCATTCACTTTTATATCGATTAATTGATTGCCGTGTGTTTAATTTTGTTGTCTAGAACTTCACTAGCATCATAATGAATTCAAACATATTTCCCGGATGACTGTGACAAAGAGGTGTAGTTTAACGACAACGACTTCAGCTATTCTACTTCCCCTATTTCACATTACTCATACGTGAATAGGAATACACCGGTGCGAGAGCGTCACCACTTTTTGCTACATTTTCACAAAAAAACAAGACTTTTATTGTGACAAACGTTTAAACCAATATACAACACGTTATAATGGTAATGTACTATTAATAGGCATACGTCAGTCAGCTCGAGAAAATTTAAATGTCACATGATAACATGTATTCGTATGATTGTTAATGGCTTCAGTCAAAGTTTTATTTCTAATTACCTGATACAGCTTGTGAAATGCAGGTGTGAATATGTTTCCATCCAAATCGTCGACCCTGGCCCCGACAAAT